ATAAAAAAAAAATGTTATTGAGGCAATTTCACCCAGATGGTAATGGATTTCCAACGTCCTTGGACAATACTCAAGACTCTAGGTGAGTAGTAGGAGCAACTTTTAATTTATTATGAACACAAATGGATTCAATTGTTAACCACATCGTAAATTAAATTGACTATGGATTCAAGCCATAGCAAACGGTTTCACAAAATCATACTATTTCCCCGATCAAAATAAAGCAATTACGTTAAGAAGATTTGGCTCGTTACTCACATTTCCTTAATATAATGGTACTGCTATTAAAAAAATGGTAGAAAATGTCAATATTCCTCAATGTTGTTGACATTTCCTTACAATTTTGAGAAAACAACATGTTACTCCATCGAGATATTGGACCCTTCCAACATCTCGAAATGTCGAGCAACATTTCATTTCAGAATGATACTTAAATAACTTTCTTTACGTGTGCTTTGAAAAATTAAATATATCCGTGTCCATATTTTCATCAATATTTTCATATAATTTAGTCATTGATGCGGAGGTTAGTCAATATTTTTATTATACGGTAAATATATCAGCAAAATGATATTAACCAAAAATATGTAATGCGAATATAAATACTCATAATAACGATTTCAATTCAGTTAGGATGAAATACTTATAATTAACCATCATGAGTAGCTCATTCGTCTAAATGGACCATAGTTAATTAGGAGGGAATGAGTTCAAATTCAATGATGACCACCTATCTTGGTCTAAATTTTAGAGATTTAGAAGGTTTTAATGAGGCTTTAATAGCTAAGCAGGTTTGGGGTATTCTACGAAACGAAAACCTTTGTCTCCAAAGTCCTTGAAGCTAAATATTTTTATGATTCGTCGATGCTCCATGCGGCTTCGGTCAAGAATCAATCTTACTTTTGGCACGATTTCCTTTGGGGTAGAGATCTTCTTGTTAAAGGGTTGAGGTTACAATCTTTTTGATTCTTGGGTCTGACATTTTGACAAGAGAGGGAATTACAGCGTTGAAAGTGGATATAAACTGTTTATGCATCGTCTTAAGTGCAGTGGTGTTTCTACTAGTGATGGTTCCCATGGTTATAACTGGAAATCAATTTGGGACCTAAAAGTTCCTTCAAAGATTAAATTATTTGTATGGAAGGCAGTAAATGAACATCTTCCAACTTCACAAAATCTCAATAAAAGGGGTCTTGACGTGGTACCCTGGATGTTGTATTTGCCATTCTAAGCCTGAAAGTTCCTCGCATGCCATCTTTCTCTGCAAAAGGGCCAGGCAAATATGGAATCTTATGTTTCCATCATTGTTTAACACACCTATTAATTCAAATCTTAGTTTTATGGACTTTTGGTTGTATATAATTGATCGTTTGAATCCAGATGACAGAGGGCTGGCTAATATTACCTGTTGGGCGATTTGGGGTGATCGGAATTTGCAAGTTCATGGGCCGATAGTCTCTCCACCTGATTTAAAATGTGCTTTGATTAGTTCTTAGTTCTAAAACTATACAAATGCCCAGGTTAATAAGAGAGAGATGTTACCGCAGAGGCCAGAAGTGACTTCTTCTAGTAGCACCCTCCGCTGGCTTCCACCTTGTGGCACCGATTTGAAGGTTAACTCCAATGCTGCTTGTAGAACATCGTCAACAGGGCTTGGTACGGTTATCTGAGACAGTAGGGGTGGTTTGGTGGCGGTGAAGTCCATGCATCTTCATTTCACCTTTCCTCTCTTCATGCTGAAATTAGAGGAATATTGGAAGCTTTGAAGTTCGCTCGATCAACAAATTGCCATCGCCTTGAGGTTGAATCTGATTCACAAGAGGCAATTTGTTTGATTCAGGGAGATTTGCGAACCATGGGGGATGAATTGAACTGGATTTTAGAGATCAAAGCTTTAGCTCTAAATTTCGATTTCATCTCCTTCGCCCATGTATCCCCAAAATGTAATTTGTGTGCTCATTTTTTGGCAAAATGGGGATCTCAATCTCTTCATTGTGTACCTGGCACACCCATTATCCTCAGGGATTGTTGGATATTGTTAAAGGGGAATCCCCTTCAATCTTAGCCCATGTGGCTTAATTTAATGTAACTTCTTTCCTTTCCAAAAAAAAAAAAATTAGTAATTCCTACGTGAGATTAATCAGGTGCGCGCGAACTAATCCACCATGGCTCATTTTAGTTAGATTTCTAATAATTCTAATCTCGTTATAGATTTTAGTTTTCTTTGGTCTCGATTGTTTTTGAAATTTATGACTTTTATTTTAAAATAATCATGAATTAAGACTTTTTTAATTCTTCCAACGCTACCTACCTAGTTCACTTTTGTCTGAAGTTTTTCAGAATCCAAACACAATTTGGAAGGTAATGAAGATTTATTACACAGTATGAAACTAATCTACTTTGTTACAAAAATTTTGCACATTCAATTGTAGCTAGCTCCGTTAATAGGATTAGTGCCTCTCCCATTAGAATATATATTTAAATTTCTTTGTTTCTTTTATTCCAAAAAAAAATATCATCTTCTTTATAATGTAATGTAATTCTCCCATCNAATAAAAAGAGTACCAATTTCTCAAGCATACGAAACGCACAAGTAATGTGATAATGATCAGTAGAGTATCATCTCTACAGGGAATGAATGTTTCACTAATTACCAATTTCTATACTTCGATTTTATCTAAACGTCGAAAGTTTAATGAAAGAGAAGTAAAAAAATAAATTCTAAAACTGGGTCAATAAAATAAGAAAATAACGCAACTAGCAAAAAAACAGGTGTAAATTCAAGCTTATTAAACTCTAAAACATGACTTCACCCATATCACCTTTAACTCTTCCTATAATTTTAATTGAAACTTTTCTAATCCAAAGGTTGTTGGCGGATTCTACCCTATTGACTCGATATTCTTTCTCAAGCAATAACGATTCTCTTCAAAAAGTCGAGTATCTTTATCTTATGACTACTCCAACAATTCAAATAATTAAGCACGCAGAACCAAAAAAATATGCCACAAAATTTACAAGAATGTATCTTTATCTTTATCTCTTGCTTAACAAGGGAGAACTATTCAAGTCCTAATCAGTTATTTTGTTTCTCAACCTTAATTTATGAAAAATAATCAATGCAAAGATTGCACAAGTCGAAACAATACATTAAGAGCATAAAAGTTCTCATAACCAACAAAAGTTTAGAAGAGAAATTGACTAAAAATGGAAGAGTAGAGTTAGATAAACCGCTACATCAATGCTGTAGAAACAACTATTTAGTGTTAAGGATTCCATGTTAAAAAGATAAGGGAGTTTATAATAATAGACATGGGCTAGTTCTTTTATTGTTAATTGATTTTGAAATGAAACCCCATAAATATTAATATGGTATCAGACCAAAAATGCTTAAATGAGCATGATCTTGAGAGGCATGTTAAAGACTCATTGCCAATTGGTTTTAAAATGGAATCTCATAACTATTAATAGTTAGCTCATACTTGAAGAAGAAAACAAATCTGGTAATATCAAGAGTCTCCCTTCTTCGCGTTCCTTTCGTTTCTCTCAAAATCTCCAACATTTCTCTCTAAAATGTCTTTTGGTCTAATATCTCCTCTTTTTTCCCCTTTGCGGCTAGGGTTAAAATGAAGCATTTAAACAAATTATGTTTGCAACACCTAGGTGCTACCTGCAAGCGCTTAGTCACCTAACATGTTGGAATTTTGGCTCATTTTTTTCTTGATTTGCTATTTTTTTTCCTTCTTCTTCGATTCAACTTCTACAAAAGAAATAAATACTAAAAGAATTAAACTAGCCAACGAAAAGTTAACTAAAACTAAAAATTTCAAAACCACCTCAGCTTATTGAATCCAAAATTTACTCATCAAAATAGTGCTCATCCTCGAGCAAATACCACAAGAACACAAAGAGAATTTAAACCAGCTGTCAAAATATCATTGAATAGAGATAGACTCGAGCTTTAAAAAAACAATTTCTTACTTACAAAAGAAAGGAAGTAAATGAAGTAAGCTCAAGCAATGCTAAGAATTTTTAACCAACCAGCTATAATTTTTTTCCATTTTAGGCCCTATACGGTTGTGGGCAAAATTCTTCATGACTTGTCTATCTCTCAACCCAAATAAAAAGAAAAAAATTTTGCACAAGCAAACTTAACCATTCTATATCCACAAGATACATGCAAACTAATAGATAACATCACGATTTTAGGATAGACAAGAATTCACTCATGTAATGTCTCAGAAAAGAAATCAGAACTTTAGTATCTCTCATTCTTACAAGCCAAGTAACCACTAAACAAAAGAATTTTAAATGATAAAGAATTTTCTAAATCCAATCTTTTTCTAACTCAAGAACTTTTCAAAAGTTTTTATACTTAGGAGACTCGTTGACTAACTACTAGTCCTAGCTTGTAGCTTAATTAAGACCCATTTTAATGGTCCTCCACTACGGTTAGAGGAGTAGTCCACTTGTATTATAAATTCTTATTAGATCCCTTATCTTTTCAATGTGGAATCCTTAACCACAGTAATTGACCAATCATAATATAACGACAAGGACCATTTAGATTATGTGATTAGATTATGTGTGTTGCACGAAGTTACATTAAATTATGTGATTATTACTGCCGAGATCAATAAGAAGTCACGAATAGCTTACTGCTAGCGGAGTGTTTATAATTAAGCATACAATTTTTAGTGTTATAAAGAATTGCCCTATGTCTGGGTCGATTTGCGTGTGTTTATGTTTAAACTAGACTCCTATATTGTTTTCATCCTATGATATTGTCTGTTTTGGTGACTTTTATTATATTTAGGTTGATCGATGTTGTCCTTTACATATATATTCATGATCTTAATTCTCTTTTCCTAGCTAGCAAACCTAACACTTCACTGTTGTTTCAACTGCGCCCTCCACGATTTGTGCAAGAGGTTGTGATTTTTTACTTTTCAAACCGAATGGAATTGGTCCTCTGAAATTATCGTCATAATTTCAGCTAACTAATCTTGACGATAATGTTGATGGACGATTTTGAATTCGTTCATGAGTTTGAGTTGCATTAAATTTTCTGTAGATTTTTGCCCAGATGCGCCCATTGCAACCGCAGTGCATAATCCTATAAAGTTAGCAATAAAGCTAGGGACAGAATTGCACAAATTCTTACAAAAAAAAAAAAAAGTATTCAGAAATGACCAACTTTATATTCAAGATGAGCTTCAGGTGACATTTCTCATCTAGAGTTCAATATGTGGATATATTTTCCACGAGTATTTACATAATTTGCTAGAATATGGTCATATTAACTCTTGAAACCTAAGAGTTATCAGTTGCATATCCTTAAAAGTAATTCATTAAAACTAATTCTGTAGAGAACGATATTGAAATACTGTAATAATGTACACTTGCACCTCCTCTTACCTGAGAAGGTAGAGGCAAAAACCAGGAATTAAACATCTAATTAGAAATTTAAAAAAAAAAATTATTCAATTGAAAAACTATTAATAAAAATGCCAAGAATAAGTGGACAATTATTCCCATTATTCCATGCGTGGAACCGGATCCCGACGAAAATTCGTGAGAAATTAAATGGGGTGCAGGGGCGGAGATACGGTCGGAGATGGGGAGGGGGATGGCTTCCCCCTTCCCACCTCGTCCTGTGAACACCCCTACTGGAGGATAGTAGTTACACGTGATAAAAAGCATGTACTTTTTGCAGTTTGCCATTGCACAACCAATGGATTCGGTGTCCCTCCACACCACAGCCTTAAAATGGCCACACTCGCCTCCGACGCACTTCTTGGAGCTGTAGTCATAGAACTCGCTCTCACTAGCCCAATATGTCACGGCCAACTCCTCTGTTATCGCAGTTTCGGGTTCGACTAGATAGTTTTGGCCATACGGTCCGCTAGACGACTGCCTCATCTCGCATGTAGTAATTGCTGAATTTGCTGAAACCTGAGCATAGGAGGCCAATGTCTGGTTCCAAGTCACAGGCCCAACGCCATACTCCGCACGCACATCATTGTGGCTGGCCACGTACACCTCCGGAGAGTCGAACGCAGCCGCTATGGCGGTCAGGGTTAGTCGAACCATGCACACGGCGGCGAGAAACTTGGCGGTTGCCATTTCTAAATTTAAAGGCTTTGCTACAAGGAGTAATGTGTTACGTTGTGTAATGTGTGTTGCTTTAGGGTATTCATATTGAGACCAGAGATGGGGTATGAGCCTATTTTAGGGAGTTTGTTTTGAAGGGTAGAATAAAAAGATGTACAGAGTGGAGCAACGTTGAAATTGTACAAATTTCTGTTAATGGTCTTTCTCTATTCCATAAAATGTGGGCTAATAATTTAGCTCATTTAGATGGGTGTTCAATTTCTTGTTTCCGTTTCTTTCTTTTTAAATTATAAAAAAAGGTTAAAAAAGATTTTTTGTCCTTCTACTTGCCCTGAGATAACAATTTAGTCTTGCCGTAAGATAACAATTTAGTCTATGAACTTTAGTTTGTAACGATTTAGTCACTATACTTTCAACTTTGTTACAATTTTGTCCTCAAATTATAGTAGGTAACAATTTAGTCCAACTAGTTTTAAGTTTGTAATGATTTAGCCCATATTGTGATTTTTTGTTCAATTTCTTATACATTTAGATTGATTAATCGATCAATGACCAAAATGTATTTATAAATCATAAATACTAAATTGATATAGGATAAAAATTGATACTTAATTTTGACAAAAATTTTTCGCAGCAAGGATTGAATTGTTACAAATTTTAAACTATAGAGACTAAATTGTTACATACTAAAGTTCAGGGACTAAATTGTTACCAATTTAAAAGTAGAAAGACTAAATTGTTACAAACTAAAATTTAGGGACTATGTGTTACTTTAGCAAATATGTAGGGACCAAATGTGTTTTTTAACAAAAAAATATCAATTGTATGATCTCAATACACTTGATTCAAGAATATAAAATATATTTTTATTTATGATTTGCAAAAATTGGAAATGAGAATAGGAAAACAAGAAACAAGACATTTGTTTTTTTGGTCCCATAACTTTTTAAATAATTTTGAAAAAAGCTCTTAAAAAAATGAGAATAAGAAACATAAATTAAATAGTTGTAAAATGGTTACATTGTTAATGATCTTACATTAAAAAAATAAGCAAACTAATATAGGTCTATAATATATATGAGTTGCTCTTTTCATAATCGATTGGTTTTGAGATAGAACCCCATTAATGTTGATATAAATTTCTTAATAAAATTAGAAATGAGAAATAATAAATGGGAACGTTATCAAATAGACGCTTAATATTTTATCAGATACAAGAAACACGTTATCAATTAGGCTATAATTGACATTTTAAACATTATATATCTAAAAATAAAAGTAATATTTATGTAAAAAAATGTAGATGTTGACGAAAATTAGAAAAAAAAAACAATATGAAAACATGAAAACTAGTGTTTCAATTAATTTGTAAAATTTTAACAATAATTTACCAAAATTAGCTCATGTTGCAAAGGAAACTACCAAAATTGTATACATATGTATATATTTATTGAATTACCAAAATTAATTGATTCATCGTTTCAAAGAATATTTGAATTAAAATAACAGTAGAAATTAAAAAGTAGAAGAAACTACATAGAGAAAAAAACTATGGAGGAGATATGAAACAGAGAGAAATCTCACAATTCTCTTTCTCGAATTACGCCACCATCTCAAGTCTTTCGAGCTTAGAGGAGTTGGAGAACTCTGGAAATAATATATCAATTATTAGCTAGGGAGTGATGATCAAAGCAAAAGATGGGTAGTTTAGCTCTCTGGTTGGATTAAAGATTTCTCCTTTGTCTGCTATTTTTAGCTTTCGGTTCTTGCTTTTTCTTCTCTCTGGCTTGATCGATGTTCGTCTTGATGATGTGCAACTTTTATACAGGTTTGCATGTATCTTTGATGATTGCGGTTGTTTCTTTCAGAGCGTTTCAATTGTTATGGTTGCAAACAAAGTTCCAAATTGATTGGGAAATGGAGTGTTTCATGGTATGTAGATGAGTCAATTATCTCCGTTGATATGAGGTCTTTTGAGTAAAATTGTAAGGGTTATACTCAAAGACAAACAATATCATACAATTATAGAGATACTTTGAGTACTGGGTACCATTGTCCTTAGTAAGTGGTATTAGAACCATGAGAGAAATCCTAGGAGATCGAACAAGAGTGATTGGTGAGCGTAATAGGTCATTATAGAAATTATGGATGAATCTCCAAATCTGACAAAAAAGTGCTTGAGATGGCAAGCAAATACGTGCTATGTGCTCGAGAGACGAGCAATACATGCCCTATCAAGTCATGGTAGATTGATAGGAAGTCTAACATAGTCGGGTAGATTAATAGAAAGTATGGTGTAGCTAGCTTTGTTCAAGGAGAGAAGTTTGAAGTCACGACAGTGGTCGTAGACATCAGGTGTTTCCACCCAATATGATCTGTGTAGTAGGTGCTGGCTCTATGTGGGGTGGATCCTAACTATAGCATTTTGATAGGATCAGACTCTCATTGTTAGTCGCAAGTCCAATGTGGGGTTTATCCTAACTACAACATTTGGATAGGAGAATTCTCTCATTGTTAGTCACAACTCCAACAAATTATTCATATCGAAGAGTAGATGAGTGTATGGCTATTTGATGAAAGATACAAGTGGTCCCTTTGTTTGAAGAGAGAATTGTTTGGGTTACAATAAGTGAAACAAAGTTCCATATTGGGTCAAGGAAGGGAACGATTCATGATAAATATATAGATGAGGGTGTTAAGGACAATAGTACCATCGTACCTTCAAGTATCTCTATAATGGTATGATATTGTCTGCTTCGAACATAACCCTCATGGTTTTGATTTTGATTTTATCCAAAAGACCTCATACCAATGAAGATATTGTCTCTCACTTATGAACACATGAACTTGCCCATTATCTAGCCAATGGGACTTTGGTTGCATTCCCAACAATCTTTCCCTCGAAAAAAGTACCATCGAGCCTCCTTTCAAGTATCATCAAATTAAACTCTGACTACTGATTACCATTGTTTACAAGGGTAAAAAGAGGTTGAAATCATAATGTTTTACTTTATTTTGTTTAAAACTAGCATGTCTTAGCTTGCTTTTGTTGGTTTTTGGTCCTTAATATGAAATTAATTAATTTTATTTAATTAATTAATTAATATTTTGATAACAAACCTAATTTTGTTATTGATAATTTTAATGTTTTGAAGTATTCATATCGTAGAGCTCGGTACAAGGATTTCAATATCTTTTAAATTACCCAAATCAGAGCTAACACAGAAGTTGTAGCCAAAAGAAGTTAAAAAAAAATCGTACATGACGATGACACGGCAACTGAATCCTACACGCAAAAGAAAAAGAAACGAGAGAAAAAGAGAAAATATATATGAATTAAAAAGGATGTTACCGTTCGAGTTAAAAAAAAAAAAAATTCAGTAGGCGCTGACACATTGAAAAGTGAAAAAAACCTCAAGTTACCGTTGGGTTTTTTGTTTTTATTATTATTATTATTTTATTTTATTAAATAACAACATTTGATTTTTAATTATTCAAATACAATAGTCCAAATTTAATTTGGATTTCAAATTTCTTTCCAATTTTTCCTCCGGTATTTAAACCTCCCATTCTCTCAAATTTTAAGAAAAATTCTCTCACTTTTCTCTCAAATTTCTTCATGTTCTTCAAAATTGTGAGCGATATTCACTCTTTGTGAGAGTTTGTAAGACTTGTATTCAAAATTCCAATTCTTGTAAGGATTGTTCTTGAGCGCCGAAAAAGAATGTTGTAACGACTTGATTCTAAACCGTGGAAATGATCGTGTGTCCTCTTACCGTAGGAAAAAGAAGGTTTTGTACCAGTTTGACTTCTATCATAGAAAGAGTCAAGTTTCTTAGTGGAACACCCAAGGAATCTGGGGAGTGAGATAGACCGGTGTTGCTGAACCACTATAAAATTTGCGGTGTTATTTTATCTAACCCTCTCTTATTTAATTTTTGCAATTAATTTTTATTTATTATAAATTGCATGAAATTAATTGCTATAATTCGTTATTCATGTTTTATGTGTAATATTTACATTGAAATTAATTAGGATGCTTGAAATGTTATTTATAATTTATTGAATAATTTATGTTAAAATTATTTGTTCGTAAAAAGTTTACTTAATTATTTAAATTGGGTCCACGTGTTAAAAAGTTTATAAATTGTCGTTAAATCCTTTTCACTCTAGGATTGTCATATCGATCCAACAGCTTTTATGTCCCATTAATGTTATATTCATGCATTCTTCTTTATCATGGTATATTTATGCAAATATTAAGGTTTCACATAATTTAGAGTCGGAAAATTAACGAAAACCAAACTTTTTGTGCAGGGGCTTCAGGGGAGGCGCCAGTCGCCTACACCTCGGGCTTAGTTTCTTCCATGGCGCCTCCCCTCGGGCTTATTTTCTTCCATTTTTATCCTTAATGAAACACATTTGACAAATTCTCTACCTTCAAGTCAACCAAGTGTAGAAGACTGTGTTTGAAGCTGAATAGGCCAATCAAAGAGTTGGAAGACAGAGCACATTTTTCTCACCTACCTGACCAACCGTAGGCTGCCTATAAATTCCAACATTCATTCATTCTCATCAAGCTTCCTTCCATCCTTTATCACTTTGCAAGTTTCTTCAGAGTTCTTCCTCCACGTAATTTAGGATTCTCTTGTTCTTCAAATTATCTGTACTGTAACTTAACTCTTTCCCACTTTTCGTACTTGTATGCTAATTCCAAACTTGTCTTTATTCCTTGTATTTTTGGAAACCCAATTTTATAAAATTCAAGAATTGTTCTTCTTCATACTTTCGTACCTACGTCAAAAGATTCTTGTAATCACACATTATTCTGAAATATAATAAGTTTTCACTCCCCTGAGTTGAAGAGAGAAATAATGGTAAAGTTTGTCGGATCGCAAACTTCTCAATGAAAAATTTGTTCTTAATTCTTTGATCTTAAATCATATTTTTATCTTGCAAAATCTTTACATTCTTTCCTATAACAATATGTGCTAAATTTATTTTCCTCCTGGTTAAGTCTATTAAACAGGACAACAAAAGGGTAAAAGGCGTTTTCTCACTCTTTCATCTCATAAGATTGTCTAATAAAGTTTAAATTTTAATTAAAAAAATGGGAGCGGAAGCAGGTAAACAAAATAGAGAAAAAATTGCCAGTGTTGTCTCCTCTATTTACTTATACGAAGGAATAAATAGTACATTTGCACTGGAAACTGTAGCAGTTGGAGATTTCAGCTCTGTATCCTCATTATTTTAGCCAACGGTCAAAAGGGGTTTTCCTTAAATGATAGTTGCTTGTACCAAGTTTCTTGTGGGGGTCTTATTGCTGTCAATTGAGTAATAATTCAAATGATTGTTTTTCATTCTTCCTCGAGCTGAAGGTAGTTTCACGAACGCCCAACTTACTCCTCAAGTCTTTGAATATGACGTTTTGAAATGGCTATGTGAACATATCAACTAATTCAGGTTTAGAAGGAACATATTTGGTGGTTAGTAGCCCAAGGTAAAAATCTTCTCTCGAACAAAGTAGTAGCCAAGTTCGATATGTTATGTCCGTACATGGAATACCATGGGCCCAATCTACATCATAGAAAGCGTACAGATTTAGTGCTATATTCTTCTAAAATGATATTTCATGCCTTCGAGTGCCCTTTGGTGTCTCAAGATGTGCTTGACCATCTTCAAGTGCTTGAGTCTTGGTTTTTGTAAATGTTGGCATGCTTTGTTTGCGGCGAATGTGATGTCAGATCTAATGAGAGTCAAATATTGAAGTGATCCCACTATGCTTTTGTATTTTGTGGCATCAACTAGTTCATTATTGGTTGGAGAGGATGAGGTGAAAGCAGACATTTGTGTGCTCATTTGGGAGGCTTGAAGCATTCTTGCTTTATTTAAGATCTCCTTGGCATATTTTTCTTGTGAGAGCATAGCTTCAGGGATTTGATGCACTTCTATACCAAAGAAGTAATGTAGAGGTCTAAGATCTTTTAGTGTAAATTATGTACCTAGTTGAGTGATGAGTTTTTCCATGAATTAGACCCTGTCAAGATAATATCCTCAACATAAACAAGTATTAGAATGAGTATATTTTCTCCCTTATAAATGAATAAAGATGGGTCAGAGTATGAGGAATTAAATCTAATATGAAGAATAAATTGAGATAGTCTTTTAAACCAAGCTCTAGGTGCTTGTTTCAGGCCATAGAGCAATCAATTGAGTTTGCAAACATGTTGTGGCTTTTCTAGATGTTGGAAACCCGATGGTTGAGACATGTACACTTCTACTTTAAGAAGACCGTGTAGAAAAACGTTATTTACCTCAAATTAGTCTTGAAAAACAACCATTTCAATAATTAGCAACGAATTCTTCAACAACAGACTCAATTGATAGCAATAAGACTCCCACAAGAAACTTGGTACAAGCAACTATCGTTCAAGGAAAATACCTTTTTGTTCAATTAAGCTTTTAAGACCCAACGATGTAAACTTACCCCTACATCATTTTGAAATATTTTAATCTTTCTTTCAAATTGGTTTTCCACAAAGATTTTGAAAGTTAACGAAACAAGTAAGAAAATCAATTTTTTTTCTTAAAGGGTAAATCCAACAAAACCTTAAGAAATCATCTATAAAGCTCATATAGTGTCTAAAACCTTGAATGAAATTAATGGGAGAACTACTTGAGTATTTATTTAACTTTGAAAGGAAGTTGACAACTCTTGCCCATTTGACAGAAATCACACAAAGTTCTTGCTTTATTCCAACTAACAACTTGTAAGAGATGCGAATTATTCAAATGCTTCATAGCCTCATCATTTAGACGGCGATACGTTTGTGCCAAATATTAGAAAGGTGCTTTATTAACCTTGTTGCAGTAAAAGCTTTGGAGCTTGCTTGTTTTCCTCAACCAATGCATAGAGGCCATCTCTTTTATGGCCCTTGTCTAATATTTGTCCCTGTTTGTTCTTAATAACAAAATCAAATGTATCAAATGTAATTAGACAGTCATTATACAAAGTAAGTTTACTAATTGACATCAAAGTTTTCTTTATTTTAGGAACCACCAAAACATCATTCAATTTTAGCTTAGAGAAATTAGTTTGAACATGACAAGATCCCGTGTGAGTTATGTCCATGGTTATAAATATTCGTCAACACGTTGATATTTCCATCGACATGTCCATATTTTTATGGGTTCGACATCGACATGAGGGGTCAATCAACATTTCCATTATAGTATAAAAAAAATCGACAAAATATGAAAAGTATCAACAAAATATCACTAATATATACATAATATTAATTATTTTTTTAACTTATTTAGAAATATGAAAATGTTTATTTGTTAATTTAAATGTTTTTTACAATTTTTTAATTTATATAAGTTTTACAGAAATATCTATTGACATCGACATTTTATTGATATTTGCATCGATATTTTCATGAAATTGGGATCTCAACATTTCCATCGACGTTGACATTTAAAACCTTATGTCTAAGCCATTTCCATCTCCTACTTATAATTTTTCAGTTCTATTATATGGTTTTGAAAGGGAGATTATACCAGGATCATTTTCTATGTATGTAGTGGTTCCAAAATCTGTAAACAAGGTTTGCTCAGTGATTTCATTTATGCTCAAGGTTACTGGACCTTTCGGAATCTCCTCATTTGGGTAGCTGTGGTCAAGTCTACTCCAGAGTCGTGTGGTTATACTTAATTGCCGCATATCTTGTATTGAACCTTCTCCTTTTGATTTGATTTGTGGCTGCTTAGACTAAAATTTCTGTAGCCTTGTTGAGTTGTAGCAGATTTTTTCATTTGATATTTCGATTTCGGTAGGCACCTCCTTCTCTAGCTATGTAATGCCTTCAGACAAAATCCCAAATATAGGAGAAAAGCCATCGATTCTACTCATTATCTCAAATGCAATTACAGTGAAGACAATATATACGATAGGCATAAAAACTCCTAAAATATTAATAAAAAATAATGCAATTACAGAGAGTAAAAAAGTTTGTTAAAGAAATAACAAAAAAATAACTAAACTCAACTTAAATAATAGCTCCACATAAGATGCCACGTCAGAGAATATTGTCTTAACACCCCCTGCTGTAAGCCAATGGAGGATGGATCCCAAACATTGAGCTTGAACTTTAAACGATTGAAATTGACAGCAGACAACGGCTTAGTAAGCACATCAGCAATCTGATAAGAAGCAGGGAGATGATATACCAATAGTTTCTTGTTGAGAACAGGATCATGTACAAAATAAATAGCACCCACAATACTTCTATAATGATGAACGATCAGAAAAACACTCACCTTGCCATAGCAACGGACCACTTACCATCGGTGAGCAATAGACGGAGCCTCAGCCATATAAGTCTTATGAAAAAGATCACCAATATATTTTGATTGAGATAAAAGAAGGCCACCCTAAGGAGGATAAGAAATCTCTATTCCAAGAAAATAACTCAAGCGACCCAAGTCTTTTAACACAAACTACTTATGAAGATCATAGTTAGGGTCTTTTAACACAAACTACTTATGAAGATCATAGTCATAGAGCTACCCGTAACCAAAATATCGTCAACATACACCAAAATATAGCCGCAATGAGAGGCTGTATGTCGAAAAAGTAAAGAAGAATCAACTTTTGAGTTAACAAAACCCAAAGAGTGAAGAAACACACTCAACCGATCAAACCAAGCTCGGGGGGCTTGTTTAAGACCATACAATGCTTTCCGGAGACGACAGACAAGAGGCGAAGAGCTGGAGACAGAAAATCCAGCATAGTCGAATCTCTCATCAATAGAAGTTTACTGRCTGACCTGGCTCTTCAATCGACGATCTACTGCTCCCTCTTAGTTGCAGATGCCCATGCTTTGATTCGAAAGCCCTAGCCTGAATCCCCAGTAAGATCGGAGTATGGAATTCCTCCTCCCTTCAGTCCTGTTTGAACCCGTCCCAGCAACGAAAACCCTCCTACTGCAAGGTGAGGCTCTGCCCGCCCTTCCCTTCTCCGTCAATCCACTCCGGGTCGGGTCGGAGGAGCTGCTAGTCCAACTTCTTGAGCAGCCGAGATAKGCTGTTCCATATAGACAGTTTCAGAGAGAAGACCGTGAAGAAAGGCATTATTGATGTCAACTTGGCGAATTGGCCAACCATGGGCTAAGGCTAAGGTGAGTAAAACCCGGATAATTGTTGGCTTAACAACTGGACTAAAAGTCTCAGAATAATCAATATCCACAGACTCATGAAAGCCTTTGGCAACTACCCGAGCTTTATACCTCGAAATGGTTCCTTTTAATCTTACACACCCACTTACATCCAACCAGTTTCTGATGTAAAGGTTGAGAAACCAAATCCCAAGTGTGGTTGCAAAAAAAGAGCATTATACTCCTCATTCATAGCCTGTCTCTAATGATCATGTCGTAAGGCCTCTTTAACATCTTGAGGTTCAACTTCCTTATAATCCACAACAAAGACTTTGGGTTTGAAAATCCCATTCTTTCCTCGTGTAGTCATAGGATGGGAATTATGAACAGCCGAAGAAGATGTTAAGGAATAAATCACACCAGTAGGCTCATCAAAATTGGAAGAAATATTAGCATCAGATTCAAATGTGGCATTCAAAGAACCAGTAGATAAAGAGCCACTCAAAGATCCATTAGGTAAAACATTTGTGTCAGGCAAAACAGTATTTTCGACAGCAGGCAATACAGTGGTAGTAGATTGAGGACAGCTGTTGTGGGTACCATTTAAAGCAGACACATCAGCTAGTACATATACCTTAGGAGAAGACCCAGTAGGTAGAATAGAGGTAGGTGCCGGTGCAGTATTAGGAGACATGGGATTAGACAACTCAAGAGGACAAGACAAACTAGGAGACAGAGGTTGGGGGTTAGACAACGCAGTAGGAAAAAACAAAGAAGACGTATGAGACAAAGTTTTGGACAAAGGGGAAGAGGACGAATTTAAAAAAGTGGCAAAAGGAAAAAAATGTTTATCAAATAGGACATTTCGAGAGACAAACACTTTCCCAAAAGTAGATAAACATTTATAGCCTTTATGTGAATTACTATAACCAATAAAGGTGCAAGGTTGGGAATGAAAACTAAGTTTATGAGAATTATAACGACGTAAACAGCGAAAACATTGACATCCAAAAACCTTTAACCAGGAATAGTCAGGTTTGGAATGGAACAACTTCTCCAAAGAACTCACTCCACCAAGAACTATTGAGGGTAACCGGTTAATAAGATAAACAGAAGTGGAAAAGGCATCATCCCAAAAAGATAAAGGCACAAGGATTGAGATAACAAAGCTAAGCCAGTATCAACAATGTGACGATGTTTACGTTCAACAATACCATTCTGTTTAGAGGTATAAGGACATGTGATCCTATGATCAATGCCATGCTGTTGAAGAAAGGAGATAAAGGGTTTAAACTCACCACCTCCATCAGATTGAAACCCAAGAATAGAACAACCCAACAGTTTTTCCACCATGATTTTAAATTGAATAAAGACAGAAAATGCATCCAACTTGGACTGAAGAAAGTAAATCCAAGTATAACGTGAAGAAACATCAACAAAGCTAATGTAATATTTAAAACTATTATTAGATGTTTTAAACGCAATCCCCCATAAATCAGAAACAATCAATTGCAAAGGGGCAGTGTAAACAGAACTAGAGGGAGTAAAATGAAGAGATGAGATTTCCCAACAGCACACGCATTACAAAAAGTCAATGACATATTAGATGCTTTATTCGATTTATACAAAGAAGTAACCTGTCTAACAATAGGAATGGCAGGATGCCCAAGTCTCCTATGCCACAAATCATCAGGAGAAATAGATACAAAATGAGATAAGGGAGCAGTGGGCAAAACCAGAGAGGATGTAGTAGTTAAGACCTGAGGGGAAAAGCTTTGTTGTAGGCAGATGATCAGGAGAAGAAGTGATGGGAAACCGGTACAGTCCATCATGTAGAGTCCCTTGGAGAAGTACCTTGCCAGTGAGTGGGTCCTTCACACAGCAAAAAGAATGGTGAAATTCAAAAAAGACAGAGTTGTCCTTTGCAAACTGACTGACACTTATTAAGTTTTTGGTGATGTGAGGGACATGAAGCAAGTTATTTAAACTAAGAACACGATTAATAGAAGTTGAAAGAGAAGAATGACCAAAATGAGATATATGCAAACCTGCACCATTCCCTCCTTGCACTTGATTACCTCCATGATATGCAGTGCCAACAAATAGGTTGTTTAGGTTATTGGTAAGGTGATTAGTGGCACCCGAATCAGGATATCAATGATTATCGTAATTCATATCAGGAGCAGCAAAAAGGGCAGACATCTGAGGAGGACCATTAGTGAATGCGTGGTTTTGATATTAGGGAAATACTCCACTAGAACCGGAAGAATTTGGCCCTTGGAACCTAGGATCAAAATGGGAATAACACCTCACTGCAGTATGGCAAAATTTACCACACAACTGACATTGAATACGGCTCCTATTTGTCCACTGCTTACCACCTTTATTAGTTCGACCCCTACCTCTGTTCTGAGAACCGTGAGTATTCGGATTTCTGGGAGCATGATTCTCTTTTCTGACATTGGCAGCATGAGTAAGAAGATTGGCCAAATGAGGTGTACCATCAGAGCTAATCACATGCTTCTTACTTTCATTCCTATTTTCTTGTGTTAACAATAACGCCATAACTTCTTGTACTGATTGAGGACCAGACTTCGCAGCGATGACTGAGATCATAGACTCAAACTCAGATTCAAGTCCAGAAAGGATATATATAGTATGATCTTCCACAGAAATTGGTTTTCCTACTGCCGCTAAAGCATCAACACACTTCTTGACTTGTGAAAAATAATCTTTCAAAGAGGAATTTCCTTGTTGTAGGTTTTGCAATTTCGATTTAATTTTCATCACTTGTGCAAGGTTTCTGGAATTAAAAATTTGTAATAAACAATTCTATATTTCTCTAGCAGAGGTGCAGTGAAGCATTTGTTCTAGCAATTCTTCAGACATCGATCCAAGTAACCATGAGGAAATCAATTTATCTTGACGTTTCCACTAAGTAAAAGCAGGATTTTAACTTTGTACTAGAGGAAGATTCAGCACTGACCTGAATTAATTTCGGAGGAGGATCGTCGTCACATTCAATGTAAGATTCTAGACCATGACCTTCTAGGGTTGTCAGTACTTGAAATTTCCATAAAAGGAAATTCTCATCCGTAAGTTTCACTGTTGATATCTTGTTACCTGGATTGATATACTGACTTGCTTGAACTCCATTGGTGCCGGTAGAATCAATTTCAGTATTGGCCGATGAATCCATTTATTGGAAGCAGAAAACTGAATCTGTCGAAAACAACCGTATAATTGAATGAATTGATTTCAATGAGAAGAAGGAATAAAAGAGAGAAACCACAAAAAAAAATTCCAGATCGAGCATTTCCTCTTCCTCTAGACCTTGCAATTTGACAAGAAAGGCTTGGTATTATGGTCAATAGTATGATGTTTTTCTTCCTCTGACTCATCAATTAATTGTTGTTCATGGATTTTAAAAGCCAACACAAATTGGTTGTAAGAGAGATAAGGGGCATTATTGGAAAGCATTGCAATTCTAAAATCCTTATACTTACCTACCAATTCTCTTGGGAGATGGAAGAATTTGTTGTGTCATCGAGGGGTTTCTTCATTGTTGGTAGTTTATCACACAATCCCTTGAATTTCTTCAAATATTCTTCCATTCTCATACTCTCTTTCCTCAAGCTGACTAAGGCTTTATTCAAATGATTCTCATTTCCTTAATTTGGCCAATTAAAGTTTAAACAAAGTTAATACTAAAAAGTTTACTAGTTTTTACAACTTAAGGGATTAGACCTAAGAGAGGAAGACTTTAGATATAAAGTTTTCATTCAACTAGTCTAGATATAGGACTTTGACTCGAGTTTGCGATTATTTTTAACCCAAACTAAGAGATTTTCTAATAGATATATTACAAAGAACTTATAATTCGAGATCACTTAGATATAAGCGGATTAAGAAGTTTAATCGTTCAATAACAGGGGATGCCTCAGGCACCTCGAGCTAGTCACAACATTTTTCTAGCTAATCTAAAGTAACTAGGGTTGGTGATAAGAAAACAATAGCCAATTGGATCTAAGAACCCTTATGGTTATGCAAACCCCTAGATCACAAATGCTAAATTCTCAAATAAAGATGATTTCAACCTAAGGAAGAAGTTAGAACGAATTTACCTTGATGATCAAGATCAAGAGTAGAGAAAACTTGTTTCAAAACTCAAGATTTGAATCACTCCACAAGTTCGCTTGATCAAGGCTACTTCAATAATTCTAGTATACAATTCTAAAACACAAAAAATGGAAAGGAAAAGCTCATGGCTCAATAAGCTTAAATTTCATTATCTCAAAACTGAAATCTCAAATCTCAAATCTCAAATCTATTTTTCCAAGGGAACAAGCTAGTCTATTTATAGCCTCCAAAACAACCCTTCAAGTAACATAAAAGAATTGTAAAGGTTGTAACTCTCTACTACATGAATACCATAACCACCACTAACTCAAATGTAACTTAAAACACATAAATGAAATGTTTAAACTGAAAATACAATTAAACATACTTTAAATCCGAGAATGAAACTCCTCCACCATAAAACCAAGAGTTTGTAACCCTCCAAGAGTGAATCAACTGGAGTTTGAACTACTTTGAAGTACTTTGAAGTCTTGTTCATTTAATGCATCTTGAGTTCAACTTAGACTTCCATTAATGCAACTTGGGTTTGTAGTAAATGAAGTTGGACTTGTTCTTGACTTCATTCAATGAAACTTGAGGTTGCCATAAATGACACTATAGTGCATTTAATGCAACTCTACTTTGTTGTCAACTTGGACATAGGATTCTCGAACAACTTCCTTTAAATCTTGAGGACTAAGACACTTTGGTTCATATCATCCTCCCCTTCTTCAAAAGGATTCGTCCTCAAATTAAAAGGATCTCCTACATCAAATGGAAGGAAATCAGCAGCATTGAATATGTAATCTTCATAAAACTCGTCGTGTAGAGCACTCTTAAAATCATCAAAAGTCAAGTGTATATCTCTATATGGGTTCCTCTTCAACTTCTTTCCAACAGAAAATCGATCCTTCCAATAGTGTCTCCAAACCCAATAAGCCGGTTTGAACATTGTATGCTTCATGCCATGAATGAATTTAGAAACAAATTTGGATTTTTGCTTCTCACGAGATGCTTCAGCCTTGTAAACGACATGTTGGCTGTCATTGTGTACTATGGAAGCATTCTTTGGTTCAATCTTCGCAATGAGTGTTCTAGCCTCCTGTAAAAACTCAAGGGAAATACTAGACCAACATGGTTTAAGCTCTCTCTATAGATAACAAACGCCTTTGTACAAAAGATCAAGAATGTTTTGTTTGGAAAATAAAACATAGTTGACATCACAAACTTTTTCAAACAAGCTTACATTCTTGGCTTTTCTCTCATTTTTCTCTTTWGGYCATAGACTWATCTCATGCTTTTCTCTCACACAAGATTCTTTTTCAAACAATTCACATGCTTTTGTCTCGACYTCATGCGCCTTTTTCCCTAACTSACACACAACATCATATGCTTCTTGAGGTGTAGGTGTTACAATAGTAGAAGTGTTACAATCAAACAATTCATTGCAATCTAGTTGCCTACTAAATAAAACACTATTAGCATGCATTGGCACTAGGTCACAAACTATGTCTTTTTGAATTTGATCACATTCTACCTCAACAATAGGCTTAATGTTAGTTGGTAAACTAAACTTCTCTAAAGATAAATGAATCTTACAAAATGGTTTAGGTTTAGTATACCTCGTAGACTTTCTTTGGAGATGTTTCTCAATCTTTATGGCCATGTGCACCATCCCTTCTAAATCTTCGCAAAATTGAAGATCAAGTCGTTCGGCAATCTCCTTCTTGAGTCCTCTTAAGTAACGAGCCATTGTAACTTCCTCATCCTCATAAAGATCAAGCTCCTCAAGCAACATTTGCATCTCCATGTAGTAAGCCTCCACGCTATTGCTATCTTGTCGCAAAGATCTCAACTTATAGAAACACTTGGGAACAAAATGCTCTCTCATTAAATGCTTGAAAACATACCATGAGTCTATTGGAAACTCAAAGTTCTTCCTCCTACTCAAAAACATTTTATCCCACCAAGTAATTGCATAATCTCGAAGTTGGGCAACAATGAGTTTTACCTTTCTTTCATCACTTAAAGGATAATAATCAAAGACACGTTCAACTTGCCTTTCTCATTGAATGTATTCCTCCAGGTTTGTCCTACCATAGAACATAGGAAGTTTAGGCTTAATGATCAACATTATGAACTCCTCTGATTTCTCCTTTGGACAGCATTAAAACATCCACCATATTTCCTTCCTTCGGCCTCCCAATAGTCCTTATGATGTAGTGAATTATTACTCCTCTTTTGCTTCGGTTGTATTGGTTGTCTTTCAATAGATTTGAGTCTCGAATCCATGCTTTGGAGCGTCTTTGTCAAATGCTCTATGTTGTGGAAAAACTTTGTAAAATTCTCTTGCTGAGACATGGCTAGAAAAGAAAACAAAGTATCAAAGAAAAACGAACCTCACAAGCACTCCCTCACGTGTTTACACTCGTAAAGGTATAGTCACTCGTGTGTTTACTCAAAACAACAACACTCTCAAGAAACTCACAATCTCACTCACATAAGCCAATGAGTAAAGTTTACAACTCAAGTGGTTAGATATAACACACAAAGAAAACACTCAAATAACTTGATATAGAAGTAAATTCAAAACTCAAATCAGAAACAAGCTAAAGAAGAAAGTGATAGAATTGGAACATGATAATTAAGTTGGAACAAGATATTCAAAAGACCAGAAAGTGTAACTCTTGAACAATTAGGCTATTTTGAGAATTTATGGAGTTTAATTGAGCCTTGACAACAGATATGAGTTACACAAGAAAAACATCATGAGAATTGAACAACAAATGGCTGGAAATTAATTGAGAAAATTGTAACCGCAAAAAATTTAATGAGTAACGGCTAGTTATGAAAATAAATCAAGACATAATTGATATGATTTATTACCAACAGCTAGATTAACAAAAATAGGCAATTTCAACAGCACGACTAAGATCTAGCATGATTTGCAAGTAAAAATGTAAAGAACAAAGAAGAACACATGCTCTCGAGTATAGCAGTTTTCCAGAATAGAAGGTCAATTTTTGAACTTTTCACACAGAAGCAAATTGAATCAGAAGATATGAAAGAAGACAAAGTTGTAGATAAGACAAAGATCTACAAACTCATAGAAGACAACAAGACGAAACGAATAATGGAAATGACACTTTTTTTGTATTTTAAATACGTCGACAGAATGTAACGAGATGAACAATAAGAACAAAAATTTCAAAACAAAGAACAAGAAGAGCAATACGAAAACAGAAACATATATCCGATCTAGAGACTAGTGCTCTGATACCAAATGATAAGAAAACAATAGCCGATTGGATCTAAAAACTCTTATGGTTATGCAAACCCCTAGATCACAAATGCTAAAACCCCCAAATCAAGATGATTTCAACCCAAGGAAGAAGTTAGAACGAATTTACCTTGATGATCAAGATCAAGAGTAGAGAAAACTTGTTTCAAAACTCAAGATTCGAATCACTCCACAAGTTCGCTTGATCAAGGCTACTTGAATGATTGTAGCATGCAATTCTAAAACACAAGAAATGCAATGGAAAAGCTCATGGCTCAATAAGCTTAAATTTCATTATCTCAAAACTCAATTCTCAAATCTCAAATATGTTTTTCCAAGGGAACAAGCTAGGCTATTTATAGCCTCCAAAACAACCCTTCAAGTAACCTAAAAGAATTGTAAAGGTTGTAACTCCCTACTACATCAATACCATAACCACCACTAACTCAAATGTGACTTAAAACACATAAATGAAATGTTTAAAACTGAAAATACAATTAAACATGCTTTAAATCCGAGAATAAAACTCATCCACCATAAAACCAAGAGGTTGTAACCTTCCAAGAGTGAATGAACTGGAGTTTGAACTACTTTGAAGTCTTGTTCATTTAATGCATCTTGAGTTCAACTTAAACTTCCATTAATGCAACTTGAGTTTGTAGTAAATGAAGTTGGACTTGTTCTTGACTTCATTCAATGCAACTTGAGGTTGCCATAAATGACACTAGAGTGCATTTAATGCAACTCCAATTTGTTGTCAACTTGGACATAGGATTCTCTAACAACTTCCTTGAAATCTTGAGGACTAAGACACTTTGGTTCATATCAATTGGGTTTATTTCATATAGTTTTAAAACAACATCATTTTTATTATTTATCACCTTAATCCAATTGGAAATTCACCAATCATCATCATTTAAATAAAAAATGTTGTTATTTCCTGAGGATTGATAATCAGAATACTCATTCCATTTTATTACTTGTGACATGTGTACAATTGTGCTCTATCTTTTTATTTCGAATTAAAAATCTCACACAACTACATCTTTTGAAGCTCAGTACTTCTTTGTTCAACACTAGAGGATTTCACCGACACAGCTAATTTTAGATCGTGGCTTTGATATCACTTGTATTTCACAATGATGAATATTGTTCACTCTGGGCATAAGTCTTATGGCTTTGCATTTAGTCTTAAAAAAAAGATCTCATACCAATAGAGATGTTGTCTCTTACTTATCTAGCCAAATGTGGGACTTTGGTCGCATTCCCAACACGAAGACAACTATCTCTACTAGTATAAGATCTTTTTGATGAAACCAAAAGCTATGAAAGTTATGCCTAAAGCGCACAATATCATACTCTTGTGTAAATATTCCGGAGTACCATTGTCGTGCTCCACGACTTGTGCCACTGATGTTGATGGAGCTAACGGAGGGTATATTTGGGTGTTGACTTCGGTCACGAGTCTAACTTGCATTAAATTTTCTAAAGATTTTCTCCGAGATGCGCCCTTCACAACTCCACCCACATGATCCTACAAAGTCAACAATAAGATAGAATTGCACAAATTCTTCCAAAGATATAAAAAAAAAAAAATACCAACTTTGTATTCAAAATAAACTTCAAGCAACATTTATCATCTAAAGTAAATATATGAATATTTCTTTTGGTTCGTAGACAAATCCATTCAAATGAGACAAGTAATAAACTAGAATAACTCTTGAAGCCATATCCTTGGAAAAATATCTCTTGGAATATCCCTATTAAAATGACTCGTTTGATAGCGTCAACTTGCACCTACTCTTACCTTACGAGGTAGACCTAGGCACAGCATGAATTAAGTATTTAATTAGAAATCTCTTTCAAAAAATTATTTAATTGAAAAACTGAAAAAAAGTGTCAAGAATAAGTTGGTAATTATTTCAATTATTCCACGCGTGAAACTCGATCCGGGTGAAATTTCATGAGAAATTAAATAGGGTGTGGGTGCAGGTGCAGGTGTGGGGGCGGAGGTGGAGGCAAAGATGGGGAAGGGGACGGCTTCCCCGTGCCCACCTCGGCCGGTGAACACCCCAACGGGAGGATAGTAGTTACAGGTGACAAACCCTAAATATTTTCTGCAGTTCACCATTGCACAACCAATGGATTCGGTGTCCCTCCACACCAAAGCCTTGAAATGGCGACACTCGCCCCCGATGCACTTCTTCGACTTGTAGTCTTAGAACTCGCTCTCCCTCGCCCAATACAACACCACCATCTCCGCTGTCATCGTCCCCGACGCCACGGTGAAGTTTTGGCCGTACGCTTCAACGGGCAGCTCCTTCATCTCACAAGTTGTAATTGCTGAGTTTGCGCAAATCTGAGCATAGGAGGCCAATGTGTGGTTCAATGTCACAGGCCCAACGCCGTAATCGGCACGCACACCTCTGGAGAGCTGAACGCATCCGCTGCGCTCAGGGTTGTTAGTCCCACCAACTACACCGCCGTTTCTCAATTTTAAGGCATTGAGGGCTCTGGTTTAGGGTATTTATATTGTCTTGGTTCCATTTTTGGGAGTTCGTTTCCAAGGGTAGGATGAAAAGATGGAGTACAGAGTGGAGTCTCCATAAATTTCTATTAATGGATCTTTCTCTCCCATAAAATGTGGCTGATAATTTAGTTCGTTTAATCATTTTTTAACGTTGTGGTTGAATACCCAACTCATTGTTGTTTACTATAACGTTGATTACAAAAAAATAAAAAATGTGGGCTATGAGAATTTGAGTCTTCCAGCTATTAACCAAAGAAATATTTATATGTTATCGTTTGAACTATGTTTATCTTAATGTTAACCTCAAATTTGGACCTGCTCTTTATTATATATAGAATAGTTTACTTTCAAATTTACGGAAGTAATTATAAATATGTCACAACATCTCTCATATTTATTTTTGTCAGTTCAACAATCTTTAATTGTCTTGAAAATCTTTAATATTCAAAGAAATCGTCAATTGATTTAAGGTTTTCTCGAGCTCAGAGTTACTATTTTGATGTAAGATTACTTCGCTCCGGTGATTGAGGTGGGATGTCTTTGATGACGTGAGTGTAACTATTTTACGACAATGAGATTCGTCCAATAGACTCTTGCAAGAATAATATTTATGAATAAGAAACTATAGATTAAATGTGATTTTTTTAAGATACATTTCGTACTTCAAACTAATTAGCTTGTTCCCTTCTCTTCATGGCCTCCGTAGGTGACAAGTTGATTTGATATACAATTGTGATGTGTTTAAAAATAGGGATTAGTATATTAATAGGCTATTTAGAGACTATAATTATATAAAAGGATTGAATGGTATAAAATTTACACTTTTGTCATGAAACAACCTGATTTAGGATGGTACCTATCATCCAATTTACTAATATATTCTTTTGTATCTGACCTCAATATTAATTAATTTTAAAAATCTAAAATTGGCTACTTGGCAGGTTACATTTTAAATCCCTTAAATTTTGCGTAATTAGACTTTCTAAATTTGAAAAATATCAAATCCCAAAATCCTCCATTATTGAAAAAATTCGAAGACTTCGTTCCTCCGACTTTTCTTCTTCTTCTATTGTTTGTTTCCGTTCATTCCTTCGTCTCCGACCACTATCTGTGTTCCTTCGTCTCCATTCTTTTTTGTCGCCGGAACAATCCATCTAGCTTCTCCTTCGTCTTCGACCGCCCATCCATTGTTTCTGTCCGTTTATCCCGAGGTTTCTTTTTTGTCCCCGACCGCCTGTTGATCATTCCAGCCCTCCGTTTATCTCGACCATTGTCTAGTCGCCGACCAAAAGGTTTGTAGGTTATTTGTTTTATTGAAAAAATTGTAGAGGGATATAGTCGTATATACTTTATAGCCAGATATAAGTTATATCTCCATATAAGTGTATGTTATAATGACTATAGTTTATATCACCGTTTTTAGTGTATGTTGCTTAAGTTTATAGCCGCATATAGTTTATATTTCCATATAACTGAAAAAGGTAGTCGGATATAGTTTATATCTCTATTTGAAAATATATATATGTGTGTGTGTGTTATAATGGCTATATTATTGAAATCTGGCCAAAAAAATGTAATAAAATGAAAAAATATTTGTAATAAATTTCATTATTTAGTAGAATATATCAAGGAGTAAGTTTCGGGATTATGATAATAATTGAATATTTTGTAATAAATTTCATTTTTAGTAGAATATATTAAGGAGTAAATTATGGAATTATGAGAATGATTGATTTAGGTCATAGAATAATTTAATGTTTACAAAATCAAACTTGAAATATTAATCTTTTGCATTTAAATAAAAGATAAATTATAATAAAATATAAATGTCATAAATAAGGGCAAATTTGGCATTTGAAAAAAGTTTTAAATCCAGAAATCTAAGACTGTAAAATTTGTAAACATCAGATCATTTGTGAAAATAAGTTTTCAAAATAGCTTATCCAAGACATTATCTCTTAAAAATAAGCAATGAGCCATGATCCATATTCAAGAGTTGAAATGAGCTAGGGTTAATTAAGAGGGACTGGAGTCAAATCTGGTGATTGCCATCTACCTTATAAATTAGTAATTATATGTGTTTCTGGCACCAAATGATGTAGGATTAGGCGGTTGCTCTGTGAGATTAGTCAAGATACGCATAAACTGGCCCAAACACTCACACTTTACTCATGTGCCACCTATATTCTTATGGCAACCTATCATAACCACGTTTGGAATCACACGACGGGATCTCACCGAATGAGTCACACCTGGTGGAGACATATGCATAATGTAGGTGGCCTTACTCGACACCACACCACACGTTAGACCAGATCTTGTCCATAACACCTACCATTATTATATATTTGTTAAAAGAAATTACAAATTGGTCTATATTCTACATCAAATACAAAAGTTGGTCAAATCTATCGTTGATCCTCTTCCTTTGAACCTCAAACTTTATTCTATATTTGACCATAGATAGCTCGTCTAAAAAGTCACTTTAAAATTTATATTGGGCAGCGAAATTGTTTAAAAAAATATACATTTTGAAATATGTATTACATATTTTATTGAACGACATCATGAATTTTATATTTTAAGAGACGATAGTAAATGCAATATTTCTTGTGTCCTTGATGCTCTTAATTGTGTCACACATTGTGTGCAGAATTAATGGCTCTGATAAGACTCTAGCCGGTCATCCACAATAAATTAAACTTAATTTTGAGTGAATTATGACTAAGCGTTTGTTGAAGTGATTGATTTCTGTATCATCGAGCAAGTTGATCATCAAGATGAAAAATTTGGAAAAAAATGATAAGAATAAGAACAAAACTATATTATTTGTTGATCAACTGCCAAATGAAAGAATGGGGTTTTTGAAAGAATTGGATTGGGAAATGGGAAGTGAATTTAGTAAGGACGGAGGGCAGGATTGTTGCCTCCAGGATAGTAACTACAGATGACAAAAACCCAATTGTTTTGGCACTTGAGCATTGCACAACCAATTTGTTTGGTGTCCCTCCACACCACAGCCCTAAAATGCCCACACTCGCCCCCGACGCACTTGTTGGCGTTGTAGTCGTAGAACTTGCTCTCACTTGCCCAGAACTTCACCGTCAACTCGGCCGACGTCGTCTCGTATGCCTCTAGCAAGTTTTCCCCATAGGGTCCACCGGAGTGCTTCATCTCACAAGTAGCATATTTAGAGTTGGCGTAATTCTGAGCGTAGTCGGCCAAGGTTTGGTTCCAAGTCACTGGGCCAACGCCATACTGTGCGCGAATGGCGTTGTGGATGGCCACATACTCCTGCGGGGTGCTGTAAGCGTCACCTAGCCTTAGGCTTAGTCCCAGCAAGCACAGGGCCAACACCAACTTGGGGGATAATGCCATTTCTAAAYTCAAAGGCAAAGGCTGTGCTTTGAAGGGATAATTAATTATGTGTTATTTTGTGTTGGTTGTGTACGTTTGAGGGCTCTCCTTTAGCCTTTTTATATTGAGACCACAGATGGGGTTTGCTTCCATATTAGGGAGTTCGTTTCAAATGCTAGGAGTAAAGAGTGGAGGCACCGTAGAATTCTACAAATTTCTTTCAATGGTCTTTGTCTGCCATAAAATGTGCCTTCAATCTCTCTCTCATAAAATTAGTCTAATAATTTTGTTCATTTAATAAAATCTCCTATGTGTTTATTTTTGTTTTTAACTTAGAGTGTAGAATACACTTAAATCTTCTCAAGTATAACTTTATGTGGTTAATGTTTAATATTATGTTTATATTAGTGATATTTTTCTTATTTTGTCGATTTTTTTTTTGCAATACTGTGAAAATGTTGATTTACCCCTCATCTTGATGTCGAATCCATGGACATATGGAAACGTCAATGCAAATGTCGACATGTAGATGGAAATTTAATACCCTGCTTAGAACCAATAGATATGAGGACAAATATAAATGATTAATTTCGTTTTGAGTATGAGTATATTGATTTTAACATTTCAATGTTAATATCAACTTTTAACCTCCGACTCTTTTGGAGAATATTAATGTTTTAATTAATTGAATTATGTTCAAGGATAATTTTATAATCAATCCAAACATTTTTTTTTTCTTTCTAAGATGTTATAACTAAAAATAATTGATTGGATTTAAATTTTATTTTAGACTCTAAATTTTGAGATAATGTCTTTGGAGGGTTGTTTAAGAACGGTCTAAAATTTACTAATTTTACACTTTTAGATTTCTGCACGTAGGATTTTATTTTAATTCCGATTTTACACTTATTTATTGCATTTACATTTGTTATAGTTATTTTTTTTAATATAAAAGATTTAATTTCATAAATTATTATCATAATCCTTTAATTATTGTGGGCCCCGTACAAATTTTCAACACTAATCCCTTAATTCACTCATTCAAAACTTTAATTTACTGATTCAAAAAGATTGAATCTCTTCCCTAAAATCATTGTTAGGAACTCACTCTCCAACTACAACCGTTGGATATACCAGGATTTTTTAGGCTTCAAAAATAAAGTCACAGTTAGCAACTCACTTTTGAGGCTTCTAAAATAAAATCACTATTAGCAACTCACTCTCCAACTACAACCCTCGGATATATCCGGATATAAACTAAATTCCATATAAACTTCCTTATATCCCCATATATACAATAGTTCACACGAAATCAGAAATCGAAAACAACCGTTGGAGACTGACTACTTAGGCATGGAAGGAACATTGAAAGGGTTTAACAGTAAAAAAAAAAAAAAACAGGATTTTCAACATTGTACAATTTGAAAGAGAAAACTAATAGGATATATTGGAATGCAAACCTTTCGATCGAGACAAACGGAGACGAACTGCTCCAATAATGGAGGGGGACCGGAGACGAAGGAACAGCGACTGCAGATGAAGGAGCAGACGAAAACGGCGAGTTTTTGAATAAGAATAACGGAGACGACAACAGGATAAGAAGAACGGATATGGCGGTCGGAGAAGAAGGAAACTAGACGACGGAGGAGGCAAAGGAATGTAGAGACAGTTGGCCGGAGACGGAAAACAGAGACTGTTGGCCGGAGATAGAAAACACAGGAAGGTCGGAGGAAAAGGTTTCAAATTTTTTGAAAATGGATGATTTTGGAGATTTTTGTGGTTTTGATATTTTTTTTTTTACCTTTAGAAAGTACAATTAGCCAAATTTTGAGGGATTTAAATTGTAACCATCCAATTTACCAATTTGTGATTTTAAAAATGATTTAATAGTACAAAAGTATATACTAGTAATTTGTGTGATGGGTACCGGTTATTTCATGACAAAAGTGTAAATTCTATGCCCTTCAATCCTTTTATATAATTATGATTTCTAAATAGCCAATCAATATATTAATCCCCTAAATTTTTGTACTTATTTTATTTTAACTCCTAAAATTTCCAACAAATACTTTGTTTGCATCCTTGAACTTTACCGAAAAAGAATAGCTATTTAAGTCATTGATGTTAAATTTGAATTAAATTATATTTGCCAAATATATAATTATGCCCTTAAGGTGTAATTGCAGAATTAAGTAAAATTTTTTATCTAGCTCTAACTATGAAGAAAAATTGTGAATAGTGGACTTGTGTAACAGAAATTGCTTACTGTAAGTGTACGAGTAAAGTTTTAATAAAAATGATAAGTCAATACCAATATCGTCTTCTAGATTGAGTTTCTAGCTCACTCAAGTATCACAAATATTATTGCTCAATTTTATTTAGATAATCAAATTCGAATGAGAGAATATAACAAACATAATAAACATGCAATAATAAAGAGAAAATAAATACGGAGAGAAGTCTAGGGAATTGATTTCACCCCTGGATGTATGAACCAATTACTTAATTAATTAAGATTGAATGAGCTATTAATTATATTGGTCAAGAACTCTCAAATCTCAATTGTCTCTCCGAAGCGCAAGTTTACTATATTTGCTAATTAAGAAACCAATATTATTTCTATCTAGTTTCAATAGAAATCAAAGGCTTATAATGAATGAATCTTTTAATGATCTCTAAAGGACTTCTAATTAAATCTTCCGATCTTACAAGTCTTTCAGTTATGCATCCCAGTTCTTATTCTAAACTACCTCTCTCGAGCATAAGATTCAAATCTAAGATCAATTACTCTATGACCAAATGATTAAAGACATGAAGCATAGAAGAACACAAATAGAATATTAAAACTCATTCAATCAAGAGAACTAAATAATAATCAATCCATAAAATTCAATATCTATATTAATCCTAAGATAAAAAAATTAGCTACTCATATTCAATGTAAAACAACAAAATTCCAAAGAAACTTACATAACAACTATAAAAATAAAGGGAAAGGAGAAAACAAATATTCTTGTGTTGATTTATCGTCACTAAGCCAATATCTAGGATTCCAAGCCTTGAAAATCCATTTTCTAAGTTCCTTTGGATTCTTGTTTTCCCTTTCCTTTTGAGTTGTCATGTTCTCTCTCTGAGATGGGTATTGGACCCCTAAAAGAGGGTTGGAAAACCTGATTATACAAAAAAGAAAAAAAATGTCATGAGAGCACCATAGCTCATTAATTGGACAGCAAAAAAAGTTAAAAGAGCGCTGCAGCATTAGTCTCTCAAGCCAAAAAATCCAGCTTTTGTGTTTTTGCTCTGCAGGTGCCTTTGTGCTGTTCTCTCAGGTACTTGGACTCCAATCCAATCTTCTGTGACAACGGATTCTACTATGATTTTAAGATAATATAATGGGCAAATACAATAATCTCTTAAATCTAGAGGCCATGACAAAAGTCACTAGCTTCTAGGAACTACAACAATAGAATCTTAGGAAACAGGAATAAAAAATCTCACCAAATACCCACGAGTATAGGTTGCCAACCATGCTCTACAACCTCGGGATCTCGTCTCTGAAACTCTGCCAAATACCACTGACGCTGCCCTTTGAAAATTCGTACACCTACACGTTTAGTCGCCACTTTGGTGTATAGCAACACATGAAACAAAACCTAAACAAAAGGGCTCTATTTATAGGAGACCAAATATGCTAATCCTTATAGGAAAAACAATATTATAATCCTTTTCTTCATAGGACATTGGTTTCTAGTTTTGGCTCCATTATCCCAACAATTTCCCACTTAGAGACAAAATATCAATTTTGCCTCCCACTGCACCAGCCATGTTCCATCATCTTGGCAACCCTGCCAAGGCTTAGTTCTAATTGTACCAACAACTTCTAACTGATCAACGTCCTCTTGGTACCAACCAAGGCTGAACTCCCACTGTACCGACAATTTCTAATATCTTCTTGGCACTAACCAAGGCTCCATCTGTGATTGTCCTGAGACTGAGCAATCCTACGTGGTCTTGTCTCCTAGACGTTAGAGACACAACCAGGTGCTCCAACTCGAACTAAGTGGTCCCTGATTCTTCATTCTTCACTTGCACCCAACGACTCCTGAAGAAAGATTTCCACTCTGATGACTTGGCACTTCCACCTAAGTTCGTTGCCACTCTAGAGACCTCAACACCAATTGTAATCTTTCTCCTCAATGCACTCGCTTGCCTACACGACTTCATCAGCTCGCTAATCCGTTTAACAACTGGAGTATTATCATGATAGTCTAGTGAATACCTCATCGAGTTGTTCCTCTTTCCCTTTCCTTTACTTCTCAGTTGTTTTACTTGAATTGATGACAGATTCTCCTTATTTGTCCTGATTGTCAATACTGCTAGTTCTTTTAAGTCTCCCCTCGAACTATCTGCAACTCTGTGCATAACCTACCTCTCCGATCTTCTGGTAATGTCAAACCTCAACACTTACATTGAAGCTTCTCTGTGGCCAACAACCACTACCTCGGATCCCCTCATGACTTTCCACCTACTTTATGCAAACTCACTTCTGTAGCCTTCGTCATCCAGCTTCCCCGCTGATATCAAATTCATCCTGAAACTTGGTATATACCTAACATCATGCAAAATTAGCTCGGTCCCATTGTCAGCCCTCAAACGCACCTCCCCAAATCCTTTGACCTTGGAGAGTCTCCCATTCCCTGTCCTCACCATGTCATGACTACCTGTAGTACGTGAGGGATGTGAACCAACTCTTGTTTGAAGATACATGCACCGAAGCTACACTGTCCACTACCCCATTCTGATGATGAATCCACAAATGTCGTGTCACTCTCAACGAATGCTAACAACATGTCATTTGACAAACATTTGTCTGTATTTCTTTGGTTTGATCCTCTTTTAGCTTATTGTAGTGTTTCTTGAAGTGACCCTTCTCATGATAGTAAAAACATTCAATCTCAGTACTTCCACTCCTCTGATTATGTCCCTGTTATTTTCCATATCTCATTTTCCCTTTGTCTTTGTTCTACACTGCCAACACTGACTTCATAGAGTTCTCCCTATCAGAAGTGGATGTGGAATTCTTCCC